GGGGGGGGGGGAGAAAGAGGGGTGTTGCATGAGCACACACCTTCAAGGACTGGTAGCCATGTTGGAAAATGTCCACAGGGGTGTCCGGCTCGAGCGGCTCCTCGGGGACCAGTGGCATGGCAGTCTGACCGGAAGTCGGGGCAGCTGGGGACACGGCCTCCTGCGCGGCGGTGGGCGATACGGCGCTCGGCGTGACGGCCGGTGCGGCATCCACCGCACCCGGCGGCATCGCCGATTCGGAGGCAGCCATGGCGACAATCGGAGGCAGAGCAGGAGACAAGGGAGGCGAAGCCAAGGGTGCCGGTTCGACAGGCAGGGCCAAAGGTGGTGGCGGTGGCGGCGACGGCTGTGGCAGCAACAATGGGGGCTGTGACGGCGAGGGGGGCCCGGCGACAGTCGGAGCCGTGGCAGTGGACGTGACGATCGGCCGCGAGTAGGTGACAGCGGGATGGGCAGGATGGGTGTTCAAGGACCGAGGCGAGGTGGCTGAGACTGTTGCGGTGACAAGGGCCGGCGCAGAGGAGGCTGCACCCGGAGAAGCGCCGGGGAGTGGGCTCGGCACAGCAATGGGTCCGGTACTCACCGCGGTATAGGTGGTGGTCTGGGTCAAGCTCGTGTCGGTAGTGCCGGCGGATAAGGATGGACCGGGTGCGCTGGTGGCAAGTCCAGAGAGCGAGTGGCGCGCGTGGCGGAACTTGGAGCTGGTGAACTGGAAGGACGAGCGGAAAAGCTGCTTGGCAGTCTTAGGCCGGTTGAGCGGGGTCGGGGACTCAGCTGCTTGGGAGCCAATGAGATGCGAAGCCTTGGCGGTGGGGCTCACCCTATTACAGGAGTGTCACACATGCGGGTGTGCGGGCGTCGGGGCGAAGCCGGCGCAAGAGGCGAGGGCAGCAGAGAGGAAGGGAGCATGCGAGAGAAAGGGGAAGAAACACCGGGAGAGTCAGGGGATCGGACGGTGAGTGGAGACACAAGGTCCATGGCCCAAGCGCAGGGCCCTGGCAAAAGCCACTCGTCCAGGGGGCAGCGACGCACGGGGAAACCGCAAGCGGCGACGGCGGAAGCGAGGCGCCCAGGAGGTCGGCGCGGGGGGAAAGAGTCTCAAAGAGCGGATACGGCTCACCAGGCTGGAGAACCTTCAGCGAAGAGGCAGCGGTGAAGGGGCTGGTGGTGGCGGCGGATTTGCGAAGGCGCTTGGCCTCGAGGTAAAGCCGCGATCGGTTTGGAATGTCGAAGAAGACAAACTGCCCCACGCGATGGAAGGGACATCGGTCAGCCGGAGCGAGGGACCTCAAAGCAGGGATGGCTCAAAGAGAAAGGAAAGCGGGACACAGGGCAGGCCCCCCTCCTCGGCCCGCAGGTGCCGGGCATGCACCTTCTCCTGATTGGTGGTGATGGATACACCGCTACGTCCGTGCCGGGATATGGACCGGATGTGGGCCCAGGGGAAAACCGCCGCCGATGACCAGCCGTGTAGCCGCGCGCGGAAGGTGAAGGCGTTGTGGGTGAGGGCGATTCGGCCTTCGATGGGGGTGTGGTATCTGACAGTGGCCGGGGTATCTACCAACAGGAGGCGGGCCGTGATGGGGAAGGAGGGAGGGGGAGGGCGAGGGGGAGACGGATGTCAGGATGGCCGAGGGCCACTGCGAAGCAGCGGCAGCAGCAACAGCAGCAGGGGGAGTGGGGTGAAGGGAAAAAAAAAGAGTGCAGCGAAGCCACGCACCTAGGATGATCCGATCGCCGGCTAGCGAGGGGAAGAAAAGCGCGAAGTCGGCGTGCTCGCAAGGGGCGTCCTCGACACTGGGACGTTGAGCCGGGGGAGCCGAGACAAATTGCCGCGCAGGCGAGGGGAGCTCCGAAAGGCCGGTGCCGGTGCCGGGGATGGCGCCAGGGGGGAGAAATCCAAACTGCCCGTCACGGAAGGCCGTTGTGGCGGCAGGGGCCGGAGGGAGGGGCAGGGGATTGGCCAGCGGGTAGACCGACGGCGGGAAGGCAGCACCCGAGGCAAGAGCACCACCAGTCGACCCGGGGAAGTCGCGTGGGTCCACAAGCAGGGCGGTGGTCGTTTCGGTGACAATGGACCGGGGCCGCGTGCCAAGCTGACGCGAGAGGGCGTCCAATTGACCGCCGGAGAGGGGGAACTCGGCCGGGGGAGGCGCGTAGGTGAAGGGGTACTGCTGCTGGACGCGCGGCGATGCGGGCAGCGAGAAGGGCGGATGCGTGGCCGAGCCCAGCGAGGGGTGGTAATCCACAACAGCGACGCGCCGACCGGGTGACGGGGGATGGGCCTCGTCGGAGTAGCGTGACGGCGTGGTGAAGACGGCGGCCTTGAGAGACGGGCGGTAGGGATGGAGGGAGGCCGAGGAAACGGCTGACAAGAGGGCGTGCTGGGGCGGCTGCTGGCGCGACTGGCGAAGGTCGTAGCTTGACGAGCTCTCGAGCACCAGGGATTCGGCGTCGTCTTCACTCGAACGCCCGGGCTGGATGGGGGGAAAGTGTGCTATGATGGGACCCACGGGGAGGAAACCCCAAAGAGAGGGGGGCGGGGGGAGTGGCACGGGACGGGGCGTAGAAGGACACACCGAGAGAGAGAGAGAGAGGCATAGATCGGTAGATGTGAGAGGGAGGGCGAGCATGCGGGCGCGCACAGGCGGTAAGAGTGTCGGTAAGTCAGGCCATGCTTCGGGAGGAGGAGGGCCAGGGAGAAATGGCACAGCCACGAGACGCACCAGACGCGCGAGGAGGATCGGTGACGGGGGAAGGCGGCAACCGTAGGCGAATGGGCTCACCGACGATGGAGATCCTTTTGGTCAGGTAGGGTGTCATCGGGGGGGACACATCGCGGGTCGGGGAGCCCAGCGATGGACGTGGCGAGGCGGAGCGCGGAGGGGTAGGCGTATTCACGACCAGCCGCAGCGAGGGTGACGCCGGGGGGGCGGCGGCGGCGGCGGCAGCCAGAGATGGATCCATGATGTCGGGCAGGGGGGCGACAAGACGGAGGCACAGAGAGAGAGAGAGAGAGGAAGAAGAAAGCGGGAGGCGGGGAATTAGAGTGGGTGCCGCAATGGCTGTTGGCCGAATCTCGGATCCACGTCACAACACCCACACACACACACACACACACACACACACACGCGCGTGCGCGTGTGGAGGTCGGTGCACAGGAGGACGCGCGAGGAGTCGGGGATCTCCAAGAAAAGGAGAGGGGCTAGAGGGGGAGGAGAGGGAGGAGCAAAGCGGAGATCGGGCGAAAGGGGCAAGAGGGGAGGGGGAGCGGTGGAAAAGGTGGAGAGGGAGGCCGATGGTGGGGTAGCCCGAAGCACAATAGGCACTGACTTCCCGGAGGGACCGGTAAAAGGCCCCGGAAAAAGGCACACGGGGGCCGAGGGTTCACTCAAGGAGAGCGGCGAGGATGTCCCCGCATTGGGATGAGAGACAGGGAGGGGGAGTGGCCATTACGGCGGGAAGCGGGGAGGGGGGGGGGGGGGGGGGCGGGATGCTGTGGTGCCAGGGGGGCCCGTGGTTCCCACTCGGGGATGTGCCAGAGACTGGAATGCAGAATGGGAGGTCGGGGGAGAAGAAGGGGGGGGGGGAGGACGCACCAGGGGGACCGCGTGCAGTCGGGGGGAAAAGAGGGCAGGAGAGGTGGGGAGCAAGGGGAGAGAAGCACTGTCCTCCGGGAGCGTCCACCCCGGGCGGGGAGAATGCCTCCTCTCGGGGGGGCGCGCTGGACTGTAGCGCGTGCAATGCCTGGGGAGCTCCCCCGGCCCCGGGGCCCAAGGGCGCACGGACCGAGGGGGGAAAAAAACAACAACAAAAACGATGTATCTCCCACCAGCGCCGTAGGGACTCATGACTCCTGAGAAGCGCCCAGCGCACAAGGGCCCCGGGCGGGGGAAGATCTGCTCGATCATTTGACAGGCACCCCCGGGCAGGATCGAGCCACCCCGCCCTGGCCCGGATTCCTGCCGGCATCCCTGGGGCGGGGCGGGGAGGGCGGCGCATTTGTCCGGACACGACCGCCGGCTGGCCACCAGCCGCCGCCGACCGGCCGGTTGCCGCCGAGATATCGAGCAGCAAGGGCAAGCGAGGGACAACAAGCGACGCAGAAGGACCGGGGATGGGAGGAATGCCGCAAACTCGGCACAATGTTCATCCGCTTCGGCGCTCTCTCCCCCTCCCCGGGGGGGAGAGGGAACATCGGCAGAGCAAACGATCGGGGACTAGCCCGGGGGGGGGGGGGGGCGGACGAAGGGACAAGACACAACGGAGGCTGGGGGGACAATTTTAACCGATATTTCGGCCGCCACTCCGCGGGCCCGCTCGACGGACCGGGCGTTGGCAGTATTGTTGCATGATCAAATGCGAGGGTATCACATGGATGTGGACGACTGGTCGCATTCTGGGATGAGAGCACCGGCACCGGCGCCCGGGTGTTTGCCCGGTTGGACCGACCGAGCGGTTGCCACCGCACTCCGGAGCCTGGCCAACGTGGCGCCCGGGCGGGCGGAGGCTGGCCCTGCGTGGGCCCACCATGCTTGGCCGGCCGCGGCCCGCCGCCACAACAACGACGGCGGCGGTGATCGCCTCCTTGGGTCCCTTGCTCCGGGTCGGGGAGAACCGGAGCGGCTGCCCGGCGGGCCGGATGACTGCCCGGCCGAGGGGGGGGAGATGGAGTTGGGCATGGAGGGGGCCCAAAGGGGGGAGAGGGGCGAGGGGCGGCGGGGGGGGGGGAGGGGGGGGGGCAACAGGGCCCGGGGGCGAACCACGTTGGCTCGATGACGAGGTGGGAGTGCTGCGGCCGCGGGCGCGCGGCCTGTTCGCTCGGCCGATCCATCGGCACATCTGGCTGCAATGCGCGATGATCCGGCCCCCGGGTCCGAGAGCTTGGAGGCCGACGACGGCCGAGGCACATTCTCGCCTAGACAGCCAGTCTCCACGTGCAAACACCGGCTCCGGTCCCCGCCCCCCCCCCCCGGCCCCTGTGCCGCTCGGCCAGGCGCCGTCCTACCGTGGATGGCGCGCCCCCCGGGGCCGCGAGGCATGCTTCCTGCCGAACCACGCGTGCGAGGTTCTTCCCGCGTGCTTCTCTCTCTCTCTCTCTCTCGCTCTCGCTCTCGCTCTCGCTCGCTGCTTGGGCCTCGGGCCTGGGGCCCCTTTGCCGGGCCAGGGTGGGGCCGACGGACAGGCCCCGACCCTCGTCCGGGCGGGCCCCGCCGGGCTGGGGGATTTGGGGCCGACCGCAAACAAGCGCACTCATCCGGCCCCGAGTTCCGCGCTCCCCGGCCGTGGCTTGCCATCTTTCTTCCAACCCCCGGCTGACCGCCGAGGCTGCCTTTCGCCACCGGGTCCCGGCCAAACCACGCCTAGTCTCAAGGGACCCGGCACCGCATGGGCCGGCCGTGTTCTCGGGGCCGGCCGACATGGGCGTGTTGTTGTTATCCTCCCCCGATCCTGCGCCAGGGGGGCCGGCCGGCGCCCAGGGGGGATGGAGGTTCGAGGGCCCGACTCGTTGGCTCTCGGGGGGGGGGCGCCGGTCATGCGCCCACTATCGCACCGGTCCTCAAGCATGTGCGCGTGTGCCTGCGTGCGTATGTGTGTCCGTTTGTGCGCGAGTGATGGTCCCCCGGGCGCGATTTCACACGGGCGCAGACTCTCGGCCCGCGCCACGTTGCGGCCGCTCGGCCCGCCCCCCGGCCACTGGGGCGCGCCTCCTCCCCCTGGGGCGAGATGCACCACGGTTGGGGCCGCCCCAGAGTGTTGGCAGCAACACCCCACATCCACCCGGGCCCCGGCCGCGCACTTACTCACCCGCTCACTCACCGGCCCACGCGCACGCGCACGCGCACGCACCCGCACACATGGATCCCCACCAACACACCGGCGGCCTTCCGCTTGGAGGTGGCCCCCCCCCCCCCCCCCCCCCCCCCCCCCCCCCCCCCCCCCCCCCCCCCCCCCCCCCCGGTGGGCTTCACTCTCGCTGAAGAACCATCCAAGACGCAGTGTCCGGGAGCCCGGAATGGCTTCCCGCTGCCTCTCCGCCGCAGTCTGTGCCACCATCACCTCCTGCCTCCGCGCCGCCTCCCCGTTGCCCTCCCCCTCCGCCCGACCTCCACGCCGCGCCACTCCCTTTGACGCTCGCTCGTGACGCCCACACACACACACATTCACCATGCCTCCCGAGCTTTCATCCGCCCCCACCAAGGTTGATGTCCTGGGCAAGGAGGCCTCCTCCGGCCCGATGCGCCTCTTTACTTGGGACGAGGTGACCAAGGCCTGTGCCGTCCCGTCGGCCGAGGCTCTCAGCCAGGCCACCACCTCGGCCGACATCGCCAGCACCCAGGCCGCGCGGGAAATCCGCGCCGGGCGTCGGTGCCTGCTGATCCTGCACGACAAGGTGTACGATGTGACCTCCTTCGTTCCCCGGCACCCGGGCGGGCCGCTGATCATGACCTACTCCGGCGAGGATGCGGCCGATGCCTTCCAGGCCTTCCACCCGGTCGGCACCTTCAAGATGCTGGCCCAGTACCAGATCGGTGAGATCGCCCCCTCCGAGCGGATCCCGCCCTCTCGTGCGTCTCCACCGACCATGCTCCCCTCGTGGGCATTCCCGGCCTGCGCCTTTCCTTCTTACCTTTCTCCCTGCCTGGCTGACTCCCCCCCCCCCTTCCCCCCTGCTCTCCCCCTACGACCAGCCTTCGTTGCCGAGATGCGCGCCCTGCGGCATCGGTTCCAGGCCGAGGGGCTCTTCGAGGCCAGCAAGGCCTACTACGCCTTCAAGGTGCTTTCCACCGTGGCCATCGTCCTGCTGGCCGGTGCTGTGGCCCACTACTGGCAGACCGTCCCCGGCGCCGTGGTCAGTGCCCTGCTGGTGGCTCTCTTCTGGCAGCAGTGCGGCTGGCTGGCGCACGATTTCGTCCACCATCAGGTCTTCGAGAACCGCCGCCTGGGCGATCTCTTCGGGTACGCGGCTCCTGCCTCCCGGGCGATGGTGCATATCTCCCCCCTCTGACCTCCGCCCGCCCGCCGGCCCGCCCGCCCGCCCGCCTGCCCCCCACGCGCACACAGCTATATGATTGGCAACTTCTTCCAGGGCTTCAGTGTCGCCTGGTGGAAGAACAAGCACAACACCCACCACGCCATCCCCAACGTCCACAAGGCCGACCCCGATGTCGACCTGATGCCGCTGCTTGCCTGGTCGGAGCACGCCCTCGAGGCCTTCGTCGAGGGCGATGTCCAGGGCATGTCCAAGATCCTGATCGACCACCAGAACTTCTTCTACCCCCTGCTGCTGAGCTTCGCGCGTCTTTCCTGGGCCATCCAGTCGGTCATTTACGTGCAGACGGCCGCCGACGTGCCGAACCGCGGCCTCGAGGCCCTCGGCCTGCTCGGCCACTGGGCCCTGTACGTGGACACCCGGCCGCTGCTGCGGCCGCCCTGTGGCGCCTCACCTCCCCCGGATACTGACACCATCCTCCCCGCCTGCCTGCTCCCCTCCTTCGCCCTCCCACACCGATACAGGCTCATTATCTTCTCCGTCCTCCTTACCGGCCCCTGGCGCGCGCTCATCATCTTCATGGTCAGCAACGTCGCCTGCGGCCTCCTGCTGGCCAGCGTCTTCTCCCTGAACCACAACGGCATGCCCATCCTCGATGCCGAGGAGAACCGCTCGTACGACTTCTTCACGCGGCAGATCATCACCGGCCGCGATGTCCACCCGAGCGTCTTCAACACCTGGTTCACCGGCGGCCTCAATTACCAGATCGAGCACCACCTCTTCCCCTCGATTCCCCGCCACAACTTCCACCGCATCCAGCCCCGCGTCGCCGAGCTCTGCCGCAAGTACAACGTCCCCTACCACACCGCCGGCCTGATCTCCGGCACTGTGGAGGTGTTCAAGCGCCTGGCCGAGGTGGCCCACGCCTCGCGCCAGGTCTCCGGCCCGAAGACCGACTGAGCGCCCGCCTGGGGCCTGCCCGCGGGCACCATGCCGCACTCTGCGGTCGGGCCATGGTTCATCCTTGCTTTGCCATTTCCCCCTTTCCCAGCTTATGCGATGCCCTTTTGCCCGCTTGGCCTTCGGCCAGCCAGCCGAGTCCGCTGCCCTCCCCCTCGCCGCTCCTCTTCCCTTCTCCCTTTCTCTCTCTCTCTCTCTCTCTCTCCCTCTACCCGTGCCGCTCCCTTCCCCTCTGCGGAGGTACACCATCGGTCGCAGAGCCGAGAGGGGAAGCATGTACATCAATAGAATACCCAAATGCTGCTTCCTCATCCATCACAAGCCAGTCCACATGCACACCCCCATGCATCGATACACATATGCAAAGACAGAGGCCCCCCCCCCCCTCCCAGGCAAACAGGGACAAAACCGGTGGACTTCGGATGGGCCGTGCATTGGGCACGCGGCAAAAGCACCGACAGCCTAGGAAATGGATCGCGAACGCGGACGCCCCCCAGCCGCCGGGGCGCCCCCCGGCCATGGAGACTCGTTGATGATGGCCTGCTCGGTGAAGTCCGAAAAGGAGTGGCTCCGGCGGAAAATCAGATCGAAGACCGGCCGGCCAGCAGGGACCGGGGGAAAAGCCAAAGCCGGACTCCGGGCAGCCGGCCACCCGGCCAAGGGGGGAGCCAGCGAGGATGGACCCAAAGCCAATTGACTGTCTTGGCCGTGGCTGTCGGCGTCGATCGCCGGATATGCCGCCGGGTGGTCACCATCCGAGTCTTCCTCGCTGGAGTAGGCATCGCTGGACCAGCTGATATCCGAATCCGAATGGCGATCCGCCACCGAGGCCGACATCGAAGCCGCAGGGGTGGCCATGCCGGCTGGCCAGGCGGCCGCCAAAGGCCGCGACACCGGCGACAAAGAGACAGCCCGAGGTGCCGGGGACGTGCCCATCGGCGTGGTAGACAGGGTTGAAAGACGCCGGGAAAGGACCGCCGGAGATGGGAGGCCGGGGCTGGATGCCGCCTGCCCGGCGGCCCAAGTCCGCAACAGGCGCTCGTGCGCATGCTGCAAGCCGGTTCGCAGAGATCCGCTGTGGGCCACGGCCGGATCGGCCCGCCGGACCCCGGCAATTGCCCGGGCCGGTGCCACTGTCACAGGGACCTCCGCCACCCGGGAGCCCACCCCGGCCAGGGTATCCGCCACGGCCACGTCCCAGTAGAGCAGGCGATAGCGAGACAGGCGCCGAGAAAGCACCCCGGGAAGGGCACGCCCCGGTCCGGAGCAAATGAATGTCAATCCCGGGGCCTCGACTGGGGCATCCCCGGACCGGGCCCGAAGGAGACACTGCTGCAGGGTCACCCGCAGGATGAGCGGATGGTCCGGCGCCGCGCCGGACACCATGGCCGTCAGGCGCTGCCCGGTGTAGGACGCCAGCGGCAGGGGATGCTCATCGGGCCGGCGGCCAAAGCAGAAGAGCAGGCACGGGCTGGCCGTCGACTGGGCATAGCGAGCTCGCAAGCTGGAAGCCATCAGGCCCATGGGCCGAGGCCGGCCCGGCTCGGCGGCAGGAAGCTCGGCCAGGCCGCCGGCTCGGTCAAAGCACGCCGGGGCCACATGCACCACCCAGCTGAGTGCCTCGAGCAGCGGGTCTTCCACTTCGGGGGCCGAAACACCGCGGGACCCCGGCTCGGCCGGGAGGCTGATGCTCGGGGATTCGGCACCCGGGGGGAGTGCTGTCCCGGCCAGGGGCTCGCCAAGCACCAGCCCCAGCTCGGCCGGCGAGAAGGGGGCCCCCGCTGGGGCATCTTGATGCCAGGAGGACCCGGAGCCCGGGCCGCCACCACCGAAGCCGCCGGCTCCGGACGCCTGATGGCCAGCCATCATCAACGGTGTGTACTCGTCATTGCCGAGGGTGACACCCCGCGAGGGCCCCCCGACGAAGGGGTCCACACTGCCTCCCAGGCCCGGGAGGAGGGGGCTGAATTTGGTCTGCGGGCTGGGCAGCAGACTGGCCGCCTCGATTCCGAGCTCCGGCACCTGGCCGGTGATTTTCTCATCAGCCGACAGGTCCAGCGGGCCGATGGCCTCGACCAGGTGTGCCCGCCATGCTTGTGCCCGCTCCTCCGAGGACAGGGCATCCACGTACTCGGGCATCGGGGGCAGACGCAGCGCACGCCCGGCCAGCGGCAGCAGCCAGCCCGGCACAGCCCGCACCGCCATCAGACGGAAACCCTGGAGGAAGAGCGGCGACCGAGCGAGCATCAACTTTCCACCCCGAGGGCGGCGTCGACAAGCGCCAACATGTCAGTCTCACCAGGCAGGGGGGGGGGGGCGCCAGCCGACAGGCGCGGAGCAGTCACGTACCAGCAAATTCAGGAACCCCTGTAGCGGGGAGAAGATGCCGAAAGCCAGCAGCAGGATGACCATCATGACCTGGGCAGCGCTGAGCGGCCCGCTTGGGCTCGACCCGGACCCGGAGCCCGAGGCCGCAACACCCCCAAAGACCGTCTGGATGTCGTCGATCAACGACAGCAGGGCCAGGATCGAGCTCCACATCCAGCAGAGCAGGAAATTCAGCAGCACCCCATGGACGATGCGTCGGGTGTGCACGGCATTGTGGACGAAGGGCTCGAACAGTTGGTGGAAGGCCCGAATGGTGTTGAGCTCGCTGCGTGCGACCGTTCATCGACACGGGGAAGTGAGGGAGGCGCAGGAGGGTCAGCAATGTGTGACTGCCCGGGCGGCCGCGCCCCAAGGGCCCCGGAGGGAAGGGCGAAAGAGACCGAGCCAACCGGGCCCGCCCCCTCCCGGCCGGGCAAAGGACCAGCTCGCACCGACGCGCCAGCAGCAACACCACACCGATGTAGAACCAGGACAGGACGATCCAACTGTCGAAAAAGAGCAGCCGCGCCCAGGCAAAGCGCTCGCCATCGAACCAGCACCCGATGTCGCTGGGATGGCCGCCGCCTCGGACGAACATCCCCATGGACAGGGGCACCACCGCACAAAGGAGCGGGACAAGGAAGCACACCGCGCCGTAGGTGAGGTACGCTCGGTGGCGGACGGCCCAGCGCTGCAGGCCGGGGGCCGCACGCTCGGCAGTCCGGGCCGCGCGCCGGGCAGCGCTCGACTCGGACCCCCGCCGGCGGACGGTCAAAATGTAATGCGTGGCGATGGAGCAGCAAAGGAGAAAGGTGGCCACCTGGCAGAAGAGCCCCAGCCCGGCAGATGCCACACACAGCCCATCGACCTCGGCCCCGGGGCGCTTCATGAACCACGACACACAGGACCCCACCTGGGCCATGGACAGGAAGCCGATCAGGTGCAGGGTCAAGTTTCGCCGCGTCCGCGGGATGGTTCGCAGGGTCCACAAGAGCAGCAGCGCCGCCAGCAGGGACAAGATGCTCGAGGTCCAAATCAGCCCGAGAAAGGCCTTCTCCGGGGCCGGGGAGTTGGAGAGGCCTCCATCGTGGTGGGGGTGCTCGCCGGGGGGGGCGAGCATCGCGACGGACGACGACCGGGGG